CGGGCCGTCCCCGTGCGCCCCGCGGCGCCGTCTGCTCTACGGCTGCGCGGGCAGCGACTCCGAGTGCTCGGCCGGGCGCCTGGGGCCCCTCGGACGCCGGGGGCCCACAGCCGTCGGCGGCGGCTACGGGGAGAGTGAGTCGAGCGCCAGCGAGGGGGAGTCGCCCGCCTTCAGCTCCGCCTCTAGCGACTCGGACGGCAGCGGGGGCCTCGTGTGGCCGCAGCAGCTGGTGGCGGCCACCGCGGCCCCCGGGCCAGGCGGGGGTGCAGGTGGAGGGGCGCCCGCGGGCCCCGCCAAAGTCTTTGTGAAGATCAAGGCTTCCCACGCGCTCAAGAAAAAGATCCTGCGTTTCCGTTCGGGTTCTCTCAAGGTCATGACGACAGTGTGAGTTTGGGGGTCTGCGTGGGCTCCCCCTTCATAGCCTCTGCACCACCGCCACACTCCCAATCACTGGCCCTTCCACACCTCCCTTCCAAAGACCACCATTTTCTCTGCTTCCAAAGACCCTCGCGCACTGCCCGCGTCCACTGCAGCCTTGGTTGAAAAGGCTCCCCCTCCACCATAGGGAGGAATGGGGGAGGAGCCCTGTCTGACCCAGTTCAGCTTGCTGGCTCTGCCGCCTGTGGGCAAGAAAGTTCCCTCTCTCTAGGGCTCACTTTCCTCATCTGTACTATGGGTGTACTATGGTATGCAGAAGGGGTAATTCAATTTGAATTTCCCCATTTTAGTTTAGACACTTAGTCTGTTTGTTCCCCTTCACTTCTCTCGCTGAGCCCTCTTATTCCTCCTTCCCATGCTCAGATGTGGCCCTCCTCTCATTCACAAAGTGCCCCCCTCCATGTCCCTGGACCCCTAGGATATCCCCTTGGCACCCGGGTTGGAGACTGTGTCTGACCCAGATGGTGCCTGCAGAGTGCCCTGGGAAGGGAAGGAGCACTGACTTTGGGGTTTTGAGGGTCAAGTAGGAGTTGGTAACACCTGGAAAGAAAGACTCTTTTACCTCTATTCCTGGACAATTATGGTGGATTGGGAGGTAGAAGAGGGGAAGGAAGATGGCTTCTATCTCGTGCCCCCCACCCCATGGGAGGGAGTGGGGGAACTCAGGATGACCCTCAACTGTTCCAATCCAGTATTTTTTTTTCTTTTTTTAAATTACTGTATTTATTATGACGATGGTGACTCCCCGGCGCACAGGGGGGCCAGATTCTCTGTGTTTCTCTAACCTCTTTGTAAATAAATGCACAATGACATACGTGGTGGATTCTCCTTCTGTTTTAAAATGAGAGACATGCTTTTCCTTTGGACTAACATTTATTGAGCAACTACTGTTTGCTTTGGATATGGCAGTGTCCAGACCCAGATGGCAGATCCCAGGGTGGGTCTCAACATCATTTTCCTACCATTGGCTATTTTACTTCAGTGAATCTGACCTTCGATTGAGCTTTGTTTGGTCATAAATATGGTTTTATGAAAACGGAGACAATATAGGTAGACAGCCCCCAATCCCCTCTCTCAGAAGTCACGATCAGCTTGATGTGCATCCTTACATATTTTTCTGTATGTGTTTGCATACATATATGAATCTAAGTAACTATATAAACTATATGCATATACATATAGTTATATATGCAAAACTATATATTTACATAAATTGAACTATGTATACATTATCTTTTTTTTTTTGGTTAAGTCATCTGTGCCTGGAGATTTCTTTATGGGAAGGATTTTCATTAAGATTGAACTTTTTCTTTTTGAGGAAGATTGGCTCTGTGCTAACATCTGTTGCCAATCTTCCTCTTTTTTTCTTTTTTCTCCCCCAAGCCCCAGTACACAGTTGTGTAGCATAGTTATAGAGTTGTAGCTCTTCTGTGTGGGACACCGCCTCAGCATGGCTTGATGAGTGGTGAGTAGGTCCTCGCCGAGGATCTGAACCGGTGAACCCTGGGCTGCTGAAGCGGAACGCATGAACTTAACCACTATGCCACCGGGCCGGCCCCAAGAATTGAATTTTGATGATGGTTATAGTACTACTTAGCTTTTCTGTTTCTTCCTGTGTCAGTTTTACTGAGTTGTATCCTTCTAGGAATTTGTCCATTTCATCTAAATTTAGATGACATTTTCCATTGTGGGGGTTCCCTTCATCTAACCCTCTTGTCAGCTCTCCAGTTCCTTTGCTGTTATGGACTTGGCTGTAGTGACGTCCTGGTCTGTGCCTCTTTGGTCTGGATGTATGCATTTCTGTAGGATCCACTCCTAGAAATAGAATTGCTTGGTCATTAGAGTATGCCCTTTTAAAAACTTTTAATTGAGGCTGCCACCCTGCCTTCCACTAAGACTGCCCTCAATTGACATTTCCAACAGCACATTCTGAGATGCCCATTTTCCCACCCCTCCACCAAACAACAGATGCTATTAATCATTTTCATTTTGCCAATCTTATGGGGCAAAATTGTTATTTTAATTAGCATGTCTCCCTCCCTATTTCTTTGAGGTGAGACATCATTGCCTATTGGCCCTCTTGTATTTCTTCTGTGAATTGTCTGTTCACATCCTTTGCCCTTTTTTCTATTGGGTAAGCCCATTAATTATACTAATTTCATGGATGGGTAAATAGAGGCTCAGAGAGGGGCCATCATTTGCCCTGGTCACACAGCAAGAGGGAGGCAGGACGGGGACTCAAACCCCCACTGACTCCACAGTCTGAAGAATGGGTGTTTGTTGCTGCTTTGAACTTTGTGTCTATATGGCGGGTCCACCCATGGGAGAGCAGGGACCAGGAATACTGTGCTCACCTGCGTCTCTAGTGCCCAGTCAGGCACTCACTGGGGAAACAGCGAGGAACAAGCCAGAAAAAAGTTCCCTGCCCTCTGGAGTTCCCATTCTTGTGTGTGTGTGTGTGTGTGTGTGTGTGTGTATAAACATGTATTTCTTTTAGAGTAACAATAAAAGCTATTTTTAAAAATTTGCCTGGAAAAGCCATTGCTTGTCAGGCCCTTGGGAATATGTGCCCTATCTCCATTCCGTAAAAGAGGAAACAAGCCAGACAGGGGAAGAGACTCTGAGGCTGCACAGGCCACACATGGTCAAAATGGTTGAAATAAACATGGATGACCTTCCTTTTTAAGATTTTAGTGCTTATTCATAAAAAGCAACAGCTGACACTTCATTGAGCACTTGTTAATGCCAGACTCTATTCTCAGCACTTTCTATATATTGACTCATTTAATCGCCACAACCTCGAGGGCGGTAGATACTGCTATTACGCCAGTTTTACAGATGGAGAAACTGAGGTACAGAGAAGTTAAGTAACTTTCCTGAAGGTGTTAAGTAGCAAAGCCAGAATCTCAGTTCATGCTGTGTAAGAGTCTGTGCTCTTAACCACTGCCTTACATGGCGTATTTGCCGTATGGATTATCTCTAGAAGGATGCACAAGGAACTGGTCACAGGGATGGAGCTGGGGGGTGGGGGTGTTGACATAATAAATAAATTCCATAATTTTTTAAAGGTGATAAGGACAATGGGGAAAAACAGCAGAGGTCTGAGGGAATAGGGTAGGATGAGGGAGCAGGGAGTTTGTGATTTCAAGTAGAGTGATCAGGGATGGTCTAATTATGAAGGTGGCATTTGCACAGAGACCTGAAGGAGTGAGACTTGTGGATAGGTTGGGGAAGAGCATCTCAGGCAGAGGGGTCAGCCAGTGCAAAGGCCCTGAGGCCAAAACAGTGCCTGGTTTCTTGGCAAAATAACTAGGAGTCCAGCGTGTCTGGAGCAGTGAGTGAGGGGGGGAGTAGGGGTGAGGACAGAAAATGGTAGGGACCACCACATCATGTGGGGCCCTGGTGGGGGATTTTGATTTTTATTCCAAGGGAAGTGGGAGCCATGGGAGAATTCTGAGCAGAAGAGGGACTTAGGTTTTTTTTTGGGGGGGGAGGGGGTTACAGCTCTATTAAGATATAATTCACGTACCATAAAATTCATTCATATAAAATAGTATAGAGTTCAATGCCTTTTTTTCAAAAAAAATTTTTTTCTTGTGATGAGAATTTTTAAGATCTACTCTCTCAGCAACTTTCAAATATGCAATATAGTAACAAAATTATTAACTACAGTCACTATGGTGTATATTACATCCCTATGACATTTATTTTATAACTGGAAGTTTGTACCTTTTGATGGCCTAGACGCATTTTGCCCATCCTCCATCCCCCGCGTCTGGCAACTACCAATCTGTTCTCTGTGTCTATGGTCGGTTTTTTTTCCTTTTTTTTTAGATTCCACATATAAGTGAGATCATACAGTATTTTTCTTTCTCCATCTGACTTATTTCACTTAGCAGAATGCCCTCAAGGTCCATCCGTGTTGTCGCAAATGGCAAGATTTCCTTCCTTTTTATGGCTGAATAATATTCCATTGTATACATATACCACGTCTTTATCCATTCATCCATTGATGGACACTTAGCTTGCTTCCATATCTTGGCTGTTATAAATACTGCTGCAATGCATATAGAGGTGCGTGTATCTTTTTGAGTTAGTGCTTTTTGTTTTCTTTCAATAAATACCCAAGAGTGGAATTGCTGGATCATATGGTAGTTCTATTTCTCATTTTTTGAGGAACCTCCATACCGTTTTCCATAGTGGCTGCACCAATTTACATTCCCACCAACAGTACACAAGGGTTCCCTTTTTTCCACATCCTCACCAACACTTATCTCTTGTCTTTTCAAGAATAGCCATTCTGACAGGTGTGAGGTGATAGCTCATTGTGGTTTTGATTTCCATTTCTCTGATGACTAGTGATGCTGAGCATCTTTTCAGGTACCTGTTGGCCATCTCTGTCTTCTTTGGAAAAATGTCGATTCAGGTCCTTTGCCCGTTTTTTAAATCAGATTGTTTGTTCTTTTGCTATTGAGTTGTATGAATTCTTTATATGTTTTGGATATTAATCCCTTATCAGATATATGATTTGCAAATATTTTCTCCCAGTCAGTAGGTTGCCTTTCATTTTGTTGATGGCTTCTTTTGCTCTGCAGAAGCCTTTTAGTTGGATGTAGCTCTACTTGTTTAGTTTTGCTGTTGTTGCTTTTGTTTTGGTGTCAAATCCAAAAAAATCATTGCCAAGACCAATGTCAAGGAGCTTACCACCTATGTTTTCTTCTAGGAGTTTTATGGCTTCAGGGCTTACATTCAAGTCTTTAATCCATTTTGAGTTGATTTTTGTGTATGGTGTAAGATAATGGTCCAGTTTCATTCTTTTGCATGTGACTGTCCAGTTTTCCCAAAACCAGTTATTGAAGAGAGAGTCCTTTCCTCATTGTGTATTCTTGGCTTCTTTGTCGAAGATTAGCTGTCCATAGATGTGTGGTTTTTTTTCTGGGCCCTCTATTCTGTTTCATTGATCTATGTGTCTGTTTTTATGCCAGTACCATACTGTTTTGATGACTATAGCTTTGTAATATAGTTTGAAATCAGGGAGTTTGATGCCTCCAGCTTTGTTCTTCTTTGTCAAGATTGCTTTGGCTATTCAGGGTCTTTTGTGTCTCCATACAAATTTTGGGATTGTTTGTTCTATTTCTGTGAAAAATGCCATTGGAATTTTGATAGGGATTGCATTGAATCTGTAGATTGCTGTGGGTAGTATGGACATTTTAACAATATTAATTCTTCCAATCCAAGAGCAGAGAATATCTTCCATTTATTTGTGTCTCCTTCAATTTCTTTCATCGCTGTCTTATCAATGGCTTTTAGTATAGTCACCGAGTTGTGCAACTACCAGCACAGGAAATTTCAGAACATTTCCACCACCCCAAATAGAAACTCTGCACCCCTTAGCTTTCATCTTCCAAGCTCCCCTGCCCCTGGCAACCACTAATTTACTTTGGTCTCTATAGATTTGCCTATTCTGGACATATAAATGGACTCATGAATATGTAGTCTTTTGTGACTGACTTTTTTCACTTAGCATCATGTTTTCAAAGTTCATCCATGTTGTAGCCTGTGTCCATACTTCACTTCTTTTTATTGCCACAGGATAATCCACTGTTTGGATCTACCACATTTGGTTTATCCACTCAAGAGTTGATGGACACTTGGGTTATTTCCATTTTCAGGCTATTATGAATAACGCTGCTGTGGACATTCATGTACAAGTTTTTGTGTGGACGTATGTTTTCATTTCTCTTAGGCAGACATTTAGGAGTGGAATCGCTGGGTCCCGTGGTAACTGTTTAACCTTTTCGGGAACTGCCAGACTGCTTCCTGAAGTGGTTGCACCATTTTACATTCCCACCAACAGTGTTTGAGGGTTCTGATTTCTCCACCTCCTCACCAACACTTGCTATTATTTGGGGACTTTGTTTCAAACAGGGTCCCTCTGGCTGCTCTCTGGGGACCAGGCTGAAGGAGACAGAGGTAGAAGCTGGGAACCCAGTGAGGAGTGACTGTAACAGTGAGGCAGGAGAGCGTGGTGGCTGGACCGGAGTGCTGGAGCAGAGGAGGTAGGAAGCGACTGGATTGTGGAGAGACTTTGAAGATGGAGTTAATGGGATTTGTTACTAGATCAGTTCTGGGGTGCAAGAGAGGGAGGAGAGTCAAGAATGACCCGAAGATTCTCTATCAACTGAGACAGGTAAGACTGCGGTAGGAGAGGGTTCGGTGGGTGGAATCAGGACCTCAGTTTCGGACACCTTGAGTTTAAGATACCCACCAGGCATATATATATATCACATCTTCTTTATCCATTCATCCACTGACGGACACTTAGGTTGCTTCCGTATAATATTCCAGGTGGGACTATTCAGTAGGCATTGGGTATTCGAGCCGGATCCTAGCATTAGTTGGCGTTCATTGCACGTTTCTTGAATAATTAAAGACAGGACTGAATCCGAATCCAGGGTCCCAGTTGCCCCCTCCAAAAAATGGGGACAATACTTCCACTGACTACCAGGTTGTCAGCAGGCTGGGGCGATTCTTGTGCAGCACGGGGCAGGACTGTACACCTGGAAACTAAGGTTATGCGTAGGGTGGACAGACGGCTGAGGCCCGCAGGTCGGCAGAGAAATGGAGGTTACGCTGGGTTCAGGCAGTGTCGTCCATCCGTCTCCCCCGCCTCCCAGCCTCTGGCTGCCGTCGGGGAGGAGGAGGGGAGATTGGGTCGTCACCCTGTCTTCCCTCGCTTAGGCTGGGTTTCCTCCTCGAGGGCCGCCCAGGCCAAAACTGCTGATGGAAACCAGCTGCAGGAGGCGCCCAGGCTCGGCGCACGCCCAGGCCCCTCCCCGGCGCCGGCAGACCCCGCTGGGTGGGGGGGGATGAGGGCGCCCCAGCTCCCCTACCCCCTTCCGCAGCCGGGCCCCGGGCCCTGGCACGTCCGGCGCGCCTGATGCTTTCCAGATGTGAGCCTGGTTCCCCTCCCCCACCTGGCCCTGATTCTCCTGCGAGGGACGGGGGAGGGGAGCCAGGGTCCAATACCCCCCTATCAAATCGCTACTAAGGACCCAGGCCGGTGTCCCCTCCCTGCCTGTCTCCCTTCCCTGTCCAGGCGGTAAAAACCGAACTGGGATGGGCAGACTGCGGTAGAGACGCTCCTCCCCCACCTCCGCCTCTTCCCAGTGCTTCAGCCTCCGCCCCCCCCGCAGCGGGCTCGGGTGGCCTTGTTGGGATCCAGCCCCAAGACCCGCCCCTCGGGGCACGCCGCACCCAGGCCCCGCCCCTAACAGCCCGCCCCTGGACACGCCCCTTATAAACCCCGCCCCCGGACCACGCCCCTTCGAACGCGGGCCCGCGCCCCCGGCCACGCCCCTGGGACGCGCCTCTGCAGACAGGTCCCCTGCGGAAGGCTGGGTCTGCGTGTCTGTCTCTCTGCCCGCGTCTATCTCTGTCTCTGGGTGTCTGTGTTTCTCGGTCCCTGCCTCTGACTCTGTGTGTCTCTCCTGCCCCCTGCATGTCTCTGTGTCTCTCTCTGCAATCCTCTGTCTCTGTCTCTCTGAGTGCCTAGGTCTCTCTCTCTCTCCAAATTTCCGTCTCTGTGCCCCTCCGTCTCTGCGGCTCTCTGTCTCTGCCTACATCTCCGCCTCTGTCGGAATTTCTCTGTGTCCCAGTCCATCTTCAGTGCTCTCCCTCCAGTCCCCTCCGCCTCTCTATGTTTCTCTCTCCGCTGCCTGCATCCCCGGCCGGCCCGCGCGGGGGCGCCTGGCCCTCCCGGTTCCCACCCATCCCTACGGCTTCCGCGCCGGCGGGATGGGCGGCTCGGCGGGCCGCGGGCGCCCCCGTGTGGCTGGCCGGGGCTGTCCAGAGAGGCCAGAGAGCTGAGTGTGCGCTCCCGAAGGGCTGTGCCCCGTGCAGGAGGGACACTGTGGGTGTCCGGGGGTGACCCCGGGAGATGGTGTGTAACCCCAAGAGACGGTTTGAGTGCGTACCACTGTGAGATTGTGCGTGACGCCAGAGGTTGTGTGCTGCTGTGTGACCTTGTGAGATTTTGTGTGACAATCAGAGATTGGGTGTGACTGTGGGAAATCGTGTGTTACACCGAGAGGATGTGTGTGACTGTATGTGAGATGAGAGAGATGACGTATAGGGGACTGTATGTGACACTGAGTTTGCATGTGCCTGAGACACTATTTGGGGGACTCTGTGACATGCAGAGACCATATGTGAGTGAGAGATTGTGAGTGTGCAACATGGTGAGGACAAGAGCGCTGTGTGTGTCACACGAACAGGTGATGTGTGAGAGAGAGTGAGACTGAATGAATGTGATACACCAACAGATGGTGTGAGAAGGCAGTGTGAGAGGCTGGGGGGACTGGGTGTGACAGAGAGACTGTGCGAGTACGTGTCAGCCACACTGATGAACTGTGACACACTGTGTGTGACAATGTGTGACACAGGTCGTGTGGGCTACTGAGAGACACACTGTTGTGACAGTGCATGAGAGAGTGTGTAACTGTGCAGGGCGCTCAGAGCTCAGAGTACAAGAGAGACCATGTGTGTGTAAGTGTGCAACACTCGAGATTGCTGTGTGAGGGTGACAGCTGTGTGCGACAGACTGCGTGAGGCTCAGCAAGAGATTCTGTACACGACAGTGTGTGTGGTGGGACAGACTGTGTGTGAGGGAATGTGTGTAAGATTGTGTGTGACAGCGGGAGATTGTGCAAGAATGAGCGTGGCTGTATGTGGGAGTCAGTGGATGTGTGACTATGTGTTGCTGTGTAAGACTACAAAATATTGTGTGACAGTGCTTGACAAAGAGGTTTGAAGTCTCAATTCATGTAAATGTGTGTGACACCTTGAGAGATTGTGTGTGACACTGTTTGTACATTTGACACCCTGAGATGGTATATCTGACTGTGGTTGTGCAAGACGTCATTGGTGATGATGTGCCATGCTATGAAAGATAGTGAGGGACCACGAGTGACATTGTGAGAGACCCTGTGACTGTGGCGCTGTGGGAGGTTGTGTGTTGAGCACAGGTTGATTGTGAGACTGTGTCGCAACACTGGGTGCCCCAGCGAGATACTGTGCATCTCTGTGCGAGGGACGGCGAGTGTGAGTCTGTGTGCTGAGAGGGGTCGTCTGAGCTGGGTGACACTGAGGTGGTGGGTGTGACAGGGTGGGAGAGCATGTGTGATGGAGTGAGAGCCCATGTGGGACACACAGGAGAGATTTGTGTGACTGTGCAATAAGTGCAGCAGGGTGTGGGGCACGCCTTGAGAGACTGTGTCTTTGTGTGTCTGTGTTTGTGTGTGAGACAGAGACAGGGATAGAGAGAGATGGCTAGGGGAGACTGGGAGAGAGAGAGAGAGACACAGACAACACAGGAGACAGAGACACAGAAACAGAAAGACGAAGAGGGGGACGGACAGACATAGAGAGAGGACCCAGAGAGACAGACCCAGTGGTGGCGGAGGGAGGAGGCGGGTCCTCAGGGGCTGCGCCCTGGGGGAGGGGGCGGGGCGGGGCTGGGGACAGGGGACCCAGACGCTGCCTCCCAGCCTCTGCCACCCGTCCGCCATCCCAGCCCTGAGTCGCAACAGGTAGGAGGCTCCAGTCCTGCCCCAACAGCTAGTCCCTCTGCCCATCCGGCCACAGTCTGTCCGCCTGGGAATGAACGAATGCATGAGCGAATGAATGACTTTATACCTCTGCGTCTCCATCCGCCTGGCTCTCCCCCAGCCCCTCCATCTCCCTCTGTCTGTCCCCTGCTCCTTCTCTCCTCTGTTCCTGTATACCCCCGTGCCTCTCTCTCGCCCTCTATCCCGTCCCTTCCTCTACCCCTCCATTTGTCCCTCTCTGTCCTCTCCCACCCCATCCCTCCTGCACCCCTCCAGCTCCCCTTCTCTGACCCCTCTGTCACTTTGTCCCCCCTGTGCCTCCATCCCCTGTATCATCAGTCCCTTCCTTTGCCTCTCTATTTGTCCCTCCCTCTACTCCCTCCATCACTTCATCCCTCCCCCCATCTCTCCATCTCTCCTTCACCCTCCTCAGTCTCTTTATTTTCCCCGGTGCCTCAGTCTCTCCCTCTGTCACTTTGTCTCTGCCCTTCCGTTTGTCTCTCTCTCCATCCTCTCTTCCCCTCTCCCAGTCATGGCCGGTGTGGCCCCACCCCCCGGGTCCCCCCAGCCCTCTCTCCGGCTGCTAATGAGCAGAGGAGCCTTTGAGGTGGCCAGGTCTGGGGTGGGGGGGCCCCCGAAGGGGGTGGAGGGGGCAGCTGCTGCCAAGGCCCTAATGAGGCCCCCTCTGCGCCCCTCCCGCGGCGATCTTAATTCTTTGTTCTCCCTGGAGCCGCCGCTAATTGGCCTGGGGAGGGGCCCCCTCCTGGCTCATGCTCTATCCCCGGGGGCCCAGGACACCTGGGTCCTCACCCAGCACCTGTGGCCCTGTCCCTCTGTCTCCCTCTCCACCTGCCTCTCAGCCTCCCATCTGTGCTTCCCTCCTGCCTTCCCTCGCCCCTCTCTGTTCCTCCACCTGCCTCTAGGTACCCCATCTGTGCACCCCTCCAGCCCTCCTCTTCCCCCTCTCGTCCATGTTCAACTGTCCCTCCTTCGGCCTGCCTCTTGGGCCCTCATCTGTGCGTCTCTTCACCCCTCCCCTTTTCCCTCTGCTTTCCTGTCCCTCTCTGCACCTGCCTCTGGGCACCCCATCCGTGCGCCCTTCCACCCACGCCCTTGGTACTGGGGCCCACCACCACCGCCACCCTTACCTGGGGACCCAGACTTGCCCTAGCCCACCCCCTCAACGCCCACTCCCGCCCGGCTTTTAACCCCTTCTCCGCCGCAGCCATGTCCAACAACATGGCCAAGATCGCCGAGGCCCGCAAGACGGTGGAACAGCTGAAGCTGGAGGTGAACATCGACCGCATGAAGGTGCCGGGTCAGGGTGGGGAGGAAGGCGGGGCCTCCGGGGCCAGGGTCTGGACAGGGCGGGGTTGGGGGTGGAGCCCGGAGCCGCGGTGGGAAGATCCTGTTCCCAACAGGGCTGGACCCGGGGCGGGGCCCGGGGGAGGGGCCTTGGGACGGGGCGGGGCCGGGCGAGGGGAGGGAGCCCGGACAGGGGCGGAGCTGGTAACGGGCGGGCCCGGGGCGGGGCCCGGGGCGGGGCCGGCCGACTGGAGGGCACCCGGACAGGGGTGGAGCCTGATAAGGGGCGGGCCGGGGGCGGGGCCTTGGGATGGGGCGGGGCCGGGCGAGGGGAGGGAGCCCGGACGGGGCGGAGCCTGGTAAGGGGCGGGCCCGGGGCGGGGCCTTGGGATGGGGCGGGGCCGGGCGAGAGGAGGGAGCCCGGACAGGGGCGGAGCCTGGTAAGGGGCGGGCCCGGGGCGGGGCCCTGGGGCGGAACCGGGAAAGGGGCGGAGCCGGGACAGGAGCAGGCCTGGAGGGGCCCGGGGGCGGGGCCTCGGGGCGGGGCGTGGACTTATCCTGGGCACCCGCAGGTGTCGCAGGCGGCGGCCGAGCTCCTCTCGTTCTGCGAGACGCACGCCAAAGATGACCCGCTGGTGACGCCGGTGCCCGCCGCAGAGAACCCCTTCCGTGACAAGCGCCTCTTCTGCGTCCTGCTCTGAGCCTTCCCGACAGCTTACCTTCCCCTGCCACAGTATGAAACCAATAAACGTGGTGACTCTTGTGGTACCTGTGCTTTCGGGGAAACTGAGGCATGCGCAGATTTGTGTTCCTTCTCATTCCTTCTGACTGCGTGTGGGATGTGGAGGGGTGGGGGTGAGGATATGCTGGGTGTGTTGGCACCCAGGAGGTAATGGGGTGAAGACTGTGGACTCCAGCGCTGATGGAACCCTCAGCTGGTCTCGCTCCTCTGCTCAGTCCTGGGCTGGAGACTCCTGGGAGGCCCGGTGCCGGTCCCACTTTTCTCATCCCCTGAATGACAGGACCCCCTTTTTTCCCATCTGGCTGCCGCCTGCTGCAGGGCTACCTCTGTCTTTAAGCACTGAACTCTGTTCATTTATTCCTTCTTCCAAGTACTCCCTGAGTACCTACTCTGTGACCCACCCTGTGCTGGGTGAAGCTGGGGACAGCTGTGGGAGGCTGTGACGGGGACAGCCTGGCTGCTGTTCTCCTGGGGCTCAGAATCCAGTGGGAGAGACAGATCTGTCTCCAGATAGTGACACCCAGAGTGGGCAGGGCTGGGGTGGGGGAGCTCAGAGGGAGCGCCTGACTCAGCATAGAGGGCTTCCTGGAGGAGGGGACATCTAAGCTGGAACATGGTGGTAATAAAACTTGGGGACCCGGAGAAGAGAGAAGCTTGGCTAGAGGTAGAGACAAATTAATGGGTACATTTCTTCCTTCAACAATAATTTTCTTTGTCCTGGGGACACCGGGGTGACTGTGACAGCTCTGGTTACTGCCCTGTGTTTTCCACTTCACATATTGGTGGCCTACGGAACATAGATAGCCTGCAGTTATATTTTTTTGCTTCTCTTCTTTTGGCCTACATAATGTTTAAAAATGTTCTTGACTTGGTTGCCAGATTGAAAAATAGGAGTACATCATATAAAAGTCCCTATTTCTAGCTTCTCCCGAATTGGAAAGTCTGGTGACCTCAGACCTGCACAGCCCCACAGGGTGACCATAGGCTATGAGATGGGACCTGGACTTTCCAGCTCACCCAAGTCCCCACCATACCCTATTGTCTCCCGGTTCAGGAGGCTGAGGGCCAGTTGTTATTTATCATGGAGCCCGTGTTGGGGGCTTCTTAGGGTGGAATGAGGAGAAAAGTGACATGTCTGTTGAAAATGAGGAAATGCAGACTGGGTGAGCTGTGGGTTTGGTTAATTATTTTACCTGGTTGGCCTGAGGGCCTCTGAGTTCGCGACCCTGTCCCCTCTCCTCACCCCCACCTCCTCTTCTCTCAAGACTAACACCTCTGCTCCCCAGCTTGGGGCTGACTGAGGCTGGACCCCTGGGTCTGGATGGAGCCGGCTCACCAGGCCTCCCCTCCCCAGAGGGGGCTGTGCATGCGTCTGGCAAGTGCTCCATTATTCACATCGGATTAGGGTCCCCTGGGTCCCCACTCTGAGCTTCCTGTTGCATTGATCAGGAGCAGCTGTAATTACATCTCTCTCCTGCCTCCCACCTCTCAGCTGGCTCCGACCTAGTTGCATCATGTCTGGGGGAGCCCCGGGGGAGAGAGGGGGACAGAGAGAGCCAAGGATGAGCTGGGGGGCGGGGGAGGCTGGGAGGGAAGTTGCCGGAAGGATTCTGGAATTTCTCAGGCCCAGCACCCTAGAACTTGAAATGCAAAGGAATCTAGAATTCCAGGGCCTTGGAGGGCTGGAATTCTGGAGTCCTTCAATCCTGTGGGGCCAGGATTCTGGGGTCCTGCGGCCTTGTCCGGCTAGGACCCGGAGCTCGGCACTTAAATCCTGGACTGTGGGAGTGGGACCCTGTCAGCCCTGGGGTCTTGGGGTCGGGTAGCATAGATTCCTCCTCCTGCGCCTTCCTGGTCTTGAGGAATGGAATCCAAGGAGGAGCGAGCAGAGCTGGCTGACCTGATGTGGGGAAGGAAGGGCGGCCGGAGGACGTCTGCCTGGAGGAGGAGGGAGAGGGAGGAGGGGGGCTGAGCGAGCCTGGACCTGGTCACGACTGAGGCTGGGAGGGAGGAGAGGCCAGAGGGACAGGGCAGGTCCCGAGTGACCAGCCTCCACGCATGCAAACCCAGATAACCTTGTTAGTGGGTATGACTCTGCAGCACAAGCTTCTGGTCGCCCGCTGCTCTTTCCTGCCACCCCCAGCCAAGAGGTCTCTGGGGTCAGAGCCAGGCCAAGAGGCAGAGAGGTGAGCGCCCTCAGCGGTGCCCTCCCCCTTTACCCCAAACCCTGAGGGCGTTGGCTGCCCCTCCCAGGCTGTCTCCCATCTGCACCCCACACGCTCAGAGCAGTGCTTGGCACGGCTGGGGGGTTGGGGGGCTGGGGGAGGGGTAGGCCAGAGCTGGAATGAGGATTCATCATGGTCCTCGCTTATCAAGAGTCTCATTTCACATTTCACTTAATTCTCTGATAGCCAAAGGAACTCTGCTTATCCCCATTTTACAGACACGAGACATAGGCACGAGAGGTGACGCCTCCTGGCCAGTTGGGGCTTGAATTTGCAGTAGGAGCCAGTGCATGAGTGGGCAGGAGGGCTGGATGTGTTCGGGGGGCTTGAAGGATGGACGTGAGGGTGTCCAAGGTGAGGGCCCCCGCCAGGCAGAGGCAGGGCAGGGACGACCCAGCAGAGCCCCCTGGAGCAGGGGCGCGAAGCAGAGGCCGGCAGGTAGACCGGGCCCGTGGGGGTGGAGAGAAGGGTGTGGCAGAGAAAAACGGCCTTTAGCTGTAGGTGCTGGGACCTGCCGAGTAGGGGCAGGTCGGGGTGGCACACGGCAGCTTCCCGAAGCAGGGAGAGGGCACAGGCGGGCAGCGGGCTTGGCAGGCGTGAGCAGCTGGTGGCGCGCGTGTGGGGGACGAGATGGGGCCAGCTTCTTCCCAGGGCACGGCCAGGAGGACGGAAGCCAGACCGTCAGCAGAGGGTCGGGCCCAGGGCAGGCCGGGATCTTAGGTCAGCGGTCCAGATGCAGGCCTGGGCAGGTGGCTGGAGGCGCTGGCCGGCAGGCGTGGGTGAGTCCCATTAGGGCCCCATTTCCTGGCCGGCTTTGGTGTTTGCCCTCTTGAGGACACCGACCCAGATGGGAATCTGGGCTGGTGTGGAATGACTCAGCTGAGGGCCTGCCTGCCCAGGCTCCGGCTACCTTCCTACCCCATCACTCGTCGAATGTCATTTGGGAGCAAGCCCCCTCTGGCCCTTCAGCATCCCCGGCCTTTGGAGCACAGTAAGTGGGTTAGGGTTTGTTGAATGAATAATAAGAAGAGGAGCAGCTCTTTGAGGGCTTGCTGGAGGCAGGCAGGGTGAACTGCGTCTCTCGTCTTCACACACGCTCCAAGGGTGAGGCAGCCGTTCGATGAAGAACGTCACGGCTGAGATAGGGGAAGTCATTTTCCAGTGTCACACAGCATGTGGCTGTGAGTGGTGGAGGGGACGTTCCAACCCCACTGTCTTTCCCCTGCACCAGGCGGCCCCTCCACATGCAAACACACCTGGGTGGACACAGCCACAAAGCAACACGTGAGCCCACAGTAAACACACGTGCACAGACACACAAAAAGACGCACAAATAGACCTTAGAGAACATGATGCTCACCCACTGTCACAACACACATACACACTCATCTTGCTGATAAAGCGCTCACTTTCGACCCCCTGGCGTAGTGGTTAAGTTCGTGTGCTCCGCTTTGGCGGCCTAGGTTCATGGCTTTGGATCCCTGGCGCGGATATACACCACTTGTCAGCCATGCTGTGGTGGCATCCCACATACAAAAATAGAGGAAGATTGGCACAGATGTTAGCTCAGGGCCAATCTTCCTCAGCAAAAAAAAAAAAAAAAAGCTCACTTATGTCACACAGCCCCAGTAATCCCACACAGACCCACACATGAAGTTTGCACATCCACAGTCCCTAGCACACCCCTTCCCGGGTGCCCATCCCCCTCCCCTCCTGGGTGCTGTGTGTCCATTTCCAGTTGTCTCTGGGCTGTCCTCCCTCTTCTGCCTACTGCTCCGGGGTCCCTCTGGGGAGGCCCGAGTCCTGTTCCTAGCAGTGGGTGAGGGACGAGAGCTGCTGACTTACCCACCCAGAGCAGTTCCTTCCCACAGCTCCCCCTACCCCTGGAGGCCACCCCCACGGGAGCCCAGCCGGGGTGACTTCTCACCCCAAGGCACCTGGACTGAAGAGGAACGCTTCGTGGGCTTTGCTGTGGGCTTGGCCTATGGGCCTGGCTGGGGCCACCGTTGGGCAGGCGGCTGGGGCTCCCTGCAAGGTGAGTGGAGGTGTGTCTGGCACTGGCATGGACCCCAGGAGCCCTTAGTCCTCTCGATAGGAATGAGGGACTGTCACTGCCACCCCTGCCTGCTCTGGAGCACAGAACTGATGCCAGGGTTGCAAAGGCTCTTGGCACCCACTGGGACAGGTGGGGAAACTGAGGCCTGGAGGAGGCAGGGGCTTGTCTGAGGTCTCACTGGTCATGGGAGCAGAGTGGACTTCCTGAATGCTCAAGGGTCCCTGGTGGGGACAGGAAGCCAGTGGGAGGGAGGCTCCGGGAACCAGAGCTCCCCCTACACCCTGCAACTCCCCGATGCTGAGACAGGATGCGAGCCTGCCAGGCATCATCCCTCATTAATATGATATAACTTCCTGAGTTCCCCCTGGTCCGCCTGGGGACTGGAGAGCATGGGGGTGGGGGGACCACGTGGCCAGGAGGCCCAAGACCCGCACACACAGGCACCCACACAGGCTGGAGCTGGGACATCCATCCTGCCGGAAGCTGGGGGGTGCCAGCTGGCCATGGGTGATAGGGACACGGAGGGAAGGGGCAAGGGGTTGTGGTCACCAGGACCACACGGGGACGGAGAGGGGACGTCCGTGGCTGCTCACTCATCCAGCCCTTGGAGTCGGGAGTGTACCTCTGGCCTAGGATGTGACACGACATCCCCACAGGCTCTCTTCTTGTTACAAGGAGGGCTCTGGGATGGGCCACTGGCCACGGTCGGCCACGAGGCCTGTGAAGCTGGTGTCACCTCATTATACAGAAGAGGAAACTGAGATAACCCATCCTCACCTGGGACTATCACACAGCAGCGAGGTGGTTGAATTGGGACAGGAACCCAAGTCAGATGGAGCGAGACCCTGAGTTTACTGTAATCTCTACATTTAAACCGCCTCCCTGAAAAATCAGGGGTGTCTGAGAGGGTCTCCGCGGTCTCTTCTGGCCCTTATGGCCAGTGAGGCTGCATGGGAAGCCGTGGGCTGAGTGGCAATGGGGACTGGTGACCACCATGCTGGCGGCTGGGACACGCAGGCTGACCACGCTGGCCCGAGGGCAGCGGTGGCGGTGGGGGTGTGTTTGGGGCGGGGTGGGAGAGATCAATGTGATGGAGATGTCGGAGCCCTGGACGGCTGTCTGTAGCCAAAATATTATTCCTGGAGCTCAAGGTCACCAGAGCTTGGCCTAGGGCCTGAGAGGGCTGGGGTGAGAGGCAAGAGGGCCGGAGGGCACTTCCCTTTGATTCCCTGGAAGTTCTCGGGGCCTGTCCCCTGACACCGAAGTCCCTCCTCCCCCGCGCCCCCTTCCCAGGCCCCAGCCAGTGAGCGTGGGAGCTGGGAGCCTGAGGACAGGCTCCAGGGACTGGCATGTTCCCTCTGGCCCGGTCACCTCCTTCCCCAGCCTTCTGGAAGGAGTGAATTGTGTTTAGGGAACAAAAATCTCGGTAGTGCCTGGAAAACACTACATCAGGGAGGAATTTCCTGGTCATTTCTCAATCCCTGGGTAATGTCCTAACCCTGGGGCTTGGAGCCCAGAATAGCTAGATCCCAGAGGCCACCCCCGCCAGCCTCGCAGACCGCTCAGCTGTGCCCCTCAGGTCCTATCCGGGCCCATACTGGTGAGCTCCAGACTCCAAGTGTAATGACTCAGTGATCCCTACCCAGGGCCACTGGGAGACTCTGGGGAAGGCAGAAGGGTGTGAGGAGGAGACAGGTGGCTCCACGATGGGGACCGTGAGAGGACGCAGGGAGGGGAGGCAGAGGCCTGAGATGGATGTCCTGGGCAGGGGGAACGGAGGGAGCGCGCCAGGGAAGCCGGGAGGGAGCCCAGGGGGCCTCTGGAGAAGGCAGGGAGAGGGAAGGCGGGGCAGAGAGAGGAAATGAAAAAGCTGGGGCGAGCAGGCAAGATGAGTAGAGAGGGAGGAGGGGGAGAGTAGGGAGAAGCTGACACACGGAGACGGACACGGACGGGAGACCTGGGCGCGAGGGGACACAGGAGGGGTTGAGAGAGACTGCAGAGGTGCGGTGAGGAGGGCTGGGCAAGCAGAAAGCAGAGACGGGGCTAGAGGGCTGTGGGGGGAGAGAGAGGGAGGGAGAGGCAGAGGGGGTGGACAAGGGAGGGGACAGAGACAGAGAGAGCGAGAGACAGAGACAGAGAAGGAAGGAACCAGGGAGGCGGAGAGAGAAGGACGAGACAGAGAGAGACAGATAGCGAGAGAGAAACAAACGGGAGAGAGAGAGAAGACAGAGGGGAGAGAAATACCATCAGACAGACAGACAGACGCACAGCAAGAACTGTGTGTCCGCGGGGAGACCCCCAGCTGCCGGGAGGACATGGGGACGCCGGTGGCGGGCATCTGAGCCGGCCGCAGGGGCAGACCAGGCTCGCCCTCACCCCCCACCTCCCACCCTTGGGACCCCTGCAGTCCAGGCCGGCAGACGGAGGCGAGGATGGCGGATTCGTGCCGGAACCTCACCTACGTGCGGGACTCGGTGGGCCCGGCCACCAGCACCCTGATGTTCGTGGCGGGCGTGGTGGGCAACGGGCTGGCACTGGGCATCCTGGGGACGCGGCGGCGGTCGCGGCCCTCGGCCTTCGCGGTGCTGGTCACCGGGCTGGCGGTCACCGATCTGCTGGGCACGTGCTTCCTGAGCCCGGCCGTGTTCGTGGCCTACGCGCGCAACAGCTCGCTGCTGGGCCTGGCCCGGGGCCGCCCTGCGCTCTGCGACGCCTTCGCCTTCGCCATGACCTTCTTCGGCCTGGCCTCCACGCTCATCCTCTGCGCCATGGCCGTGGAGCGCTGCCTGGCGCTCAGCCACCCCTACCTCTACGCCCAGCTGGACGCGCCGCGCTGCGCCCGCCTGGCGCTGCCCGCCGTCTACGCCTTCTGCGCCCTCTTCTGCTCGCTGCCCCTGCTGGGCCTGGGCCAGCACCAGCAGTACTGCCCCGGGAGCTGGTGCTTCATCCGCATGCGCTCCGCCGAGCCGGGCGGCTGCGCCTTCTCGCTGGCCTACGCCAGCCTCGTGGCCCTGCTGGTGGCCGCCATCGTCCTCTGCAACGGCTCCGTCACCCTCAGCCTCTGCCGCATGTACCGCCAGCAGAGGCGCCACCAGGGCTCGCTGGTCCCCGGGCCCCGCGGGGGCGAGGACGAGGTTGACCACCTGATTCTGCTGGCCCTCATGACGGGCATCATGGCCGTGTGCTCCCTGCCTCTCACGGTGAGTCCGCTCTGCAGCTGGGGTGGGTGGTGGGAAGGAGGGCGGCGCTCGGCTCTGCGCTCCATTGGTGGTGCCCATTTCACGGATGGGGAAACTGAGTCTCAAAGGGGTCAGAGGCTTTGTCCACGGTCAAGCAGCTCCTTTCTGGAAAGTCTCTCTCCATTTGCTTCTTCCCCGTTTGACTCGTCTTGACCCCTTGTCTCCCCCTTCCACGTCTTTAGTCCCCCCAAGATCAAACACGCCCCCAACCTTCCCCTACCCCTGTAATGATAATACGATCCACCATCCGTTAAGCGCTTTCTCTATGTCCCCCCCATGCTCAGATAATCTTCACAATTACTTTACACATTCATTCAATTAGCGTGTAGCAAGAAAGAGACAAATCCCGGTCCTGTCACCAGACAAGCAGTGATGTCTCTTGCCCACGACCACACAGAGCCAGGTCTGGCCCCTGGGCTCCTGATTCTAGAGTCTCATTTCCCGGCAATGGAGTTCCCCACTTCCCCAAACAGCCCCACCCACCATCTGCCCTTGGAATCTCCGGGCCTCGCCCCTTTCCCGCAGGAGCTCCTGCCCAGCCTCTCCCGAATTGTAGCAGGGCAGACCCTGCTACTGTGGCACCGGGTCACCCCACCTACTCTCTGGGCCTCAGTTTCCCTTTCTGTAAAATGCAAGGGCTGGGCTAGATTTGAGGGTCGTCAAACCTTTTAGGGGTTGTGGATGACTCAGAGGCTAGAAGCCGTGGACAGACACAGGCACAGCCCCAGGGCCCACTCACACGGCCCCGTCTCTCCCTTTGCACCTCTGCTGTCTGTTTCCTGGGGCTTTCTCTCCCTCTGTTCCCCAGGTGCATTTGTTAATTCGTTTCCATCTTAGGTCCTTCCCATTCTGACAGCCCCCCCCCAATTCCTGCAGGCAAGCAAGTGGGAGGAGGGGAACCGGGGTGATGTGTGTAGGGGGTGGGTGCTTCCTGACACCCTCGTCCTGCCCCCAGATCCGCGGCTTCACCCAGGCCATCGCCCCGGACAGCAGTGAGATGGGCGACCTCCTCGCCTTCCGTTTCAACGCCTTCAACCCCATCCTGGACCCCTGGGTCTTCATCCTTTTCCGCAAGGCCATCTTCCAGCGCCTCAAGCTCTGGTTCTGCTGTCTGTGCCCCAGGCCTGCCCACGGTGACTCGCAGATACCCCTCTCCCCGGTCTCAGGGAGGAAGGACCGAAGGGCACCCACTGCTCTTGGGGAGAAGGAGGGGAGCTGGGTGCCTTTGTCAGCCTGGGGTGAGGGTCATGGGGCGCCCTTGCCTCCCGCACGGCGATCTGGCGCCAGCACCGTGGGAACGCCGACCAAACTGGGGACCGCGGCCGCCTGCTCACTCTGCTGACATTTGCCCTGTGATCTCCCGCCTTGTCTTCCGGGAGCGGGAGCCAGATCATCAGGGGCATGGCCGGGGGTGGACAAGCAGAGAGATGACTCTTCTGCCCTCGCCTGCCGGAACCTTGACCCCCTGAGTTCAGGGGGCGACCTGCTGCTATTTCTTCTCCTTCTGGGTGGCCATCACAGGCTCCGGGAGGAGAGGGAGGGAGACAGGGAAGGTTGATCCTGGAGCACAAAAAGAACAGTTCTCTCAAAATAACCAGTGGCCTGGCCGGCCTGGTCTGGCCCTGGCTTGCCGCTCCATCTCACTGTCTAAATATTTAGAAGGCGGAACAGTTCCCAGCGGCTCCTGTACACTGGGGTCTGCTCTGGTTAAGGTTCCCGCTCTGATCCTCATCCGTTCAGGGGACCCCAGCTGCCCATCCCAAATCCCCAGGGGTCCTGCCCTCTCCTAGGTCGCTCCAAGAGCCACCCTCTCTTGCTTCCTGCCTCCCCTCACTTCTGACTCTTCATCAGACCTGGGAGCCCCCAGGAGAGGCGGAGGAAGGGGAGACTCTGGCACTGTGGGCGACACTGCTGGACACGTCTTGGGGAAACTGCGACCCAGGCGTGGGAGATGTGGATCCCAGGGACCACCAAGAATGCAGAGCTAAGTCCTGTGTCCGTCCCTGAATAAATAGCTGCCTCCTTCTAGAGCCTGAGCTCATCTCATAGGTCCTTGGAGCCCTTACAAAAATTTCATTCATTCATGCAACAAATAGTGGGGCTGACTCTGCCAGGTGTTGGGGACACAGACCAGTCTCTGCCCCACCCTGGACTCAGGGGTGGGGGTGCGATTTGCAGCCTTCCACCTCTCCCCACTTCTCGTTGCCATCCCCTGCCTCAGAAAGGCCCAGAATCACTGGTGCTCGGGAATAAGCCGAGTGGCGTGAAAAGAAGTGGTGCTTAGAGTGGTGGCAGGGTGAACAGGAAAGGTCCTGCCAATCCCCCCCTGCCGGCCCCAGTTCCCCTTTCTCACTTGCTCCTGGGTTAAAACAATAAACCCCCACCTGGGGAGGGGTGGGGTAGGCGAGGCACGAGCCTCCTGTGAAAACAGGCGTCGCTAACTTCAGTGAGTCCTCCTCCACGTGAGGTGCACCCTCTCCATCCAACCTGCTATTATTGGAGCCTTTCCACAGAGGCTGGCATCCAGGCCCAGAGGGGGCAATCGCCAGCCCCCAGGCCACACAGCGAGGAGAAAGCACAGTCCAAGTGGGGAGCTGATCCATCTTTCTAGCCCTGGAGGCCAGCTCGCTTGTCTGGCTGGTGACTGTCTCTCTGGACCTCGGCTTCCTTTTACGTAGAATGGCGATCATAATCTAGTATTTAGCTTACGGGGCTGGGCTGAGGATTATAGGATTCACTCTGAAAAGCAATTTGGCACAGGGCTTGGAATAAAGCCCACAATATCTGTTACTGTTATTGCCGTTGTTATTGTTGCTGTTGTTTCTGGCTCTCTGTGCAAACGTGGTTTGAAAAAAAGCAATGCTTTGCTCTGTGGTTTTGACTTTTGTTTTCAGTTTCTATGATTCAAATCACAGTAAAGAAGAAGAAGGGGCGTCTGGAAGAGTTCAAATAGGTCAAGATGACGGCTTCATGTGTAGGGGGTTTCCTTTTGGGGTGATGAAAATGTTCTGGAACTAAATAGTGTTGATGGTTGCTTAACATCTTGAAGGTACTAAATGTCTCTGAATTGAACATTTTCAAATGGTTAAAATGGTAAATTTTATGTTATGGGTATTTTACCACAATAATAAAAAAAAGCATGTAATACTGAAAAAAATTGAGTGTGTGTAGAAACTTTTATAGCAGTCTTGACCGAGTAATATATTGGTTGAATTTAATAATAAAAAAGTTGACTTGGGGCCGGCCCGGTGGCGTAGTGGTTAAGTTCACGCGTTCCGCTTGGGCGGCCCAGGGTCCACCGGTTCGGATCCTGGGCGCGGACCGTACTCACCGCTCATCAAGCCATGTGGAGGCGGCGTCCCACACAGAAGAACTAGAAGGACCTACAACTAGGATATGCAACTATGTACTGCGGCTTTGGGGAGAAAAAAGAAAAAGAGGAAGACTGGCAACAGATGTTAGCTCAGGGCCAATCTTCCTAAAAAAAAAAAAAAGTTGAGTTGTACAAAAACAGGTCAAGAAACTACAGGTGGGGTCTGGACTTTGTCACCAAACCTGGCCTGGCCTGGGTGGGAACCCAGCCCTGGAGGGCGGTGGGGAAGGGATGGGGTGGAGGGGCTGCAGAGGAGCATTTCGGGCTGGTGCCAAGGGAGAGGGGCCTGCCTGTCCAGGCAAGACCCCCAGGGGGCGCTCGCCTCCTCTCTCTGTGCCGTCCCTGCAGGTGGGTCAGTTCGGTCCATCTGGCCTCCTAGGGCTCACTAAATGCCAGGCAGGGCTGGGCGTTTGAACCCATAGCATCCTCACCCGAGGTGGGTGCTATTATCATCCCACTTTTCAGATGCAGGTTAAGGGGAGGAGAGATTAAGTGCTGAAGCTGGTTTTCTGCTGGCTCTTACCTACTAGGCCTAACATCTCAAGAACCCGCCCCCTCCTCTGCCTCCCACTGTTTATCTCAGACCCCCACCACCTCTGGCCTGGATGTCTACACTGGATGTCTACACTGCCTGCCAGGTCAGGGGTTTTCAGACAACTCCTGCCCCGTCTACCCGCAGCCCCTCTGGGATGATTTCGAGACTCCTCTCCTGGCTGGTGTCCTGACTCCTGATTCTCTGCGTATCTCTCTTCGAGCTGCCTTGATCCTGTTCGGAAGGTCCTGTCTGGACGGTCACCCCCCGCCTGCAAAGCTGCAGGGGCTCCTGCTGCCTGGAGCCCTGGGGCCAACTCCTACTCTCCGCTCAGCCCCAGCAGACAACTGGGGTTTCCCTGAACGGCCTGTGACCTCTGGACCTCCACCTCTTGGCTTCTTGAGCTGGCCCTTCCTGGAACAGCGTTTCCCCCTCTCCATTCGTCAAACACCCGCGCCCTTTAAGGTCCTGCTTAGACTACCTGTCCTCCTTGGAGACTTCATCGCTCGTCTCTCAGGCCCCAGGATGGCACTCTGCAGCCCACCTCGCAGACATTTGTCCCTTCATTCAGCAGGCTCTTCCTGGGGGCTTTCTGTATGTATGTCAGGGCTTATCCTTGTGACGCTGGGGACACGCCAGTGACAGGGACAGCCCTGGCCCTGCTCTTCTGGGGCTCACAGTCCAGAGTGGGCAGGGCTGGGGGTCAGGGAGGGTGGAGTCTAGGGGGACATCTGGGAGGGCTTCTTGGAGGAGGGGATGGCTAAGCCTGGGGATTGGAGGAAAGTGAGCCAAGTAAAGTGGAGCGTTTCTGTCGTGGTCGTGGTTTTGACTCAGGTCTCTAATGCCTCCTTTCTTTGGCCTCTTGTTCATTCATGAATTCAACATAGAATCCCTTGAACCCCCTCCTTGGGCCCAAGGCTGCTCTGTGTCTGCTGGGGATACAGCAGCAACGGACACCCCCTTGGCCCTACCTTGCTCACGATCCATTGGGTGACAATTTAATAACCACAGAAATATGTATTACGATAAGCAGCAAAAATACAAAATTACAAACTGTAATACGTCCCAAGAGAGCACAGTGCAGAGATCTGAGAACATATATGAGGCCTGCCCTCGTCTGGGTCAGGGGTCAAGAAGGGACATGCTACTGACGGGTCTGACTTCCTCAAGGAGACTTCATTCATTTTTCACTTAATTTCTTTACTCATTTCTGTATTCCTAGCACCGAACCTGGCGCAGCGCTGGGATTCAGCACACACATTCACACCATGGCTGGTCCCGAGTTGCAGGGCTCTGGGGCCGTTTGTAGTCATTGCCCCACCTGCTGGTCACACTGGGAGTGACACTTAGCGTGGCGGCCACTGTTGGGGAAGTGAGGGGAACCTGCGTTTCCCTTGTGTGGGCCCTGGTTGGGCACCCCCGGTGTGTCCCCTTCTTAGGACAGTTTTGACCTGGTCCAGCAGATCTGAGAGCCTGAACTGGGACTGATTCCCACTCGAAGCATCTCTGCTTTGCGCAGAGTCGGCTCCCCTCAGCGCCCGCCCCGCGTCCATTAGGAGCTCAGAGAGCCATCTCTGTCTTCGATTAATAAAGAATGGGAAAGGGAAGTCATGATTATTTAATACTGCAGCCTGTCTGAGAGTAAAAGTCTTTCAACACATACAGCTCAAGGGGGAACATAATGATAGGCAGCGGAGAAGTGCGGGCAGCATGACGCGGTGGTTAAAAGCGTGGCTGTTTGGGATCCGAATGATCTGGGGTTTTGAGACCCAGCTCGGCCACTTCCGAGAAGTATGGCGCGAGAGGCTGTACCTGCCTGGGCCTCCAATCCTTCACTGTCACATCTCGATGATAATGTATCTCATGCCCACATGCCCGCCGCAGAGTGCACACCATACTTGGGAGCTGAATTTCATTATGGCTCCTCCGGCCTGGACAAGAATTAAATGAGATTTCTAGAAAGTGTTTGGAGCAACCCTCTGAGGTGGCTATTTTTATGACTCTCCTTCTACAGATCATTATTCTTCTCCATTTTGCAGACTGGTAAACTGAGGCCCGGAAAATGAGGTCACTCAGGTGGACCCTGAGGCTTAGCGACTGCACAGACTCCCCGCAGCGAGTGGTCACACTGGGCTGGGAGCCCAATCCTGTGGGTCACCAATGCCCGTCTTCCTCTCCACTATGAGACCAGAATTTTCCACGGGTCTCCTGGCTGCTAAGAGGGTGGCTCCCATCTCAGATCCCATGACAGTGACCCCAGCCTTCACCTAGCCTTCCCACTGCTCTATCTCTGGCCTGCCTCAAGTCAAGTTTTTAAAAAGATGACTATTTAGAGGCCAGCCTGCTGGCATAGTGGTTAAGTTCACAGGCTGTACATCGGTGGTCTGGTGTTTGCGGGTTTGGATCCTGGGTGTGGACCTACACACCGCTCATCAAGCCATGCTGTGGCGGCATCTCACATACAAAATAGAGGAAGATGGGCATGGATGTTGGCTCAGGGCCAATCTTCCTCAGCAAAAAAAAACCCAAAAAAACCCATTTACTCCAAAGTCGGGCAGCTGAGAGCATGGACTCCTTGGGGTCAGATCTGGCTTAAATTCCAGCTCTGCCACTTTCTACTTGATAACCTTGGAGTGGTATCTTCACTTCTCTGGGGCTCGGTTTCCTAGTCGGCAAAATGGGGATAAAGAGCATCCAGCCCAAATGGTTGAAGGATTCAACGAGCTCACGGAGGCAGGGCTTAGAAGAGAGCCTGGGGAGCAGGAGGCACCGGATGAAGAACGGCTCATGCAAGAACGGCTCATGCTCGCTGGGCCCTCCCTGTTCTGCAGGCCTGGTTCCTGCGCACTCACCTGATCCTCAGCGAGCCTCGGGGGGCAGGTGCTGGAGCCGTGGTCTACCCAGACCTCGAGCTCTTATCCGTTACGCTCAACCATTTTCATCAAATGCCAAACCACAACCAGATGGAGGAAAAAGGGGGTCACGGGAGCTCGGCTCTGGAAAAACGGCCTGCTGCTCCCATCTTCCCCTCCCACAGTGCTGGGCCCCGGCCACGGCCTCGCACCAGGAAGATACAGCCCAGGCCTATCTCCTGTCTGCCACAGGAAGGCCCTGAGGGTGGGCCCTGCCAGGCTTCTCCATCCTTCCAAGGCCAGGCCAAGACGAGCGGAAGGCAGGCTCTTTTTTTTTATTTATTTATTTTTTCCCCCCAAAGCCCCAGTAGATAGTTGTGTGTCACAGCTGCACATCCTTCTAGTTGCTGTATGTGGGACGCGGCCTCAGCATGGCCGGAGAAGCAGCGCGTCGGTGCGAGCCCGGGATCCGAACCCGGGTCGCCAGCAGTGGAGCGCGCTCACTTAACCACCAAGCCACGGGGCCGGCCCAAGCAGGCTCTTTATTCCACTGAATTCTCGCTGCTCGACTCCTGCCCAGGCCCGTGGCTGTGTGAGCAGCTCGGAAGTTAGCCACCGTCTAACTGTGCTTTCCCCTTGGAAAGGGAGCGGGTGGGATTCATAGTGTGGGGCGGGGCACGTGTACTTTGGGGAAAGCCCCCCAAGGCTTCTGCTGCGCCCCTCCCCTGCAGCACCACTGGACCGCAGGCCTTCGGTCTTGACACGCCCACTTCCGGCGGGGAAGGTAAGGAGCCTAAGGTAGTTTGCAATTGTTTGGGCTTTTGGCTTCAAATCTCCCTAGGTCCTGTGCCCTGTCCCGGAGTTGACTGGTGCCCTGTCCTGGAATTGACTGAGGCTCCGAGCTCAGGACTGCACGGTACACTTAGGCTGCCTGCCTGACAGTGACCCATTCGGTGAATGCCACCCCTTCCCCGGACCACCCTGTGGAGCATCCCCAACCTGGCCTAGGCCCCCAGGTCTGACCCTGCCTTCTCGCTGTTCCCTCGGATGACACCCTTCCTTCCCCTGGGGCAGCAAGGTGACGGCTCATCTTTCAGGTCTCGGCTCAATTCTGCCTCCCCCCGCGCTCGGATGCTCTCGTGGCATGATGGACCTGCCTTGGGCCTTCTCAGTTCTCTTCTTACCGTCACCTGTGTGACCGATACAAGCCCTCCAAGGGTGGGGGTGGTCTCTCTCGCCCCCGTGTGCATCCTCCGAGCTGCTGCCAGGACCCATCCCGCCTTCATCAACCACGAAATCTGGGTGGGATGGGAACTCTGGCCCAGAGCCCCCACCTGGCTGCAGTGACGAGGACAAGTCTCTCGAGCAAGCACAGACAGGCTCTTCCAGGGCAGGGCTGCGGGACCCACGCAGGGAGCAGGCCCAGAAACCGAGACGAGAGGGGAAGCCCCCAGTCAGGTAGTCACTGTATTTTATTGGAAAACATTGATATATATTTTTCTTCACAGCTTGAACTGAACACAATATTGCCCGGTTTAAAAAACAAAACAAAACCAAAACCGAAACACTCCGAAAACGTCCACAGCCTCACGCCTACCTGCCCTTACCCTCAGCTCTTGGCGGGGTCTCCCACTACGCCCCTCCCTCAGAGGCTGGGTGCCAGAGGGTGATGAGGAGAGACTCTCAAAGCTGGCCAGGTCCCAGGAGAAGCCACTCGATCAACTTGGGTTGGCGGGGAGGGGGGCAGATGAAATGAACAGAAAAAGGAAAAAAATCCAGACGACCGAACTGCCCACGTTGACTTACTTGTCCCAGAGGCGAAAGTCAGAAGCAAGGCCGCGGATCATGCTCTCCGCGCGGGGGTGTGGGGGCAGGCAGGTGGGCGAGGGGAGAGGCAGGGAGAGGCGGGCAGAGACAGCACAGATGGCGGAAGCCAGCCAAGTCGCCACAGAGAAGCGGGAGAGGCCGGCTGCCGGCCCTCAGGGCAGCTAGCCGACAGGGTTGTTTTATTGCAGGTGTGTCCTCTCGAGAGCGTGGTGGGGCGCATCTTCCCTCTCCCCACCCTTCAGCTAGCCCGGCATGGTTTTGGACAAAATGCAAGTTTGAAGGCGCATAAAGAAAAAACAAAAGGACAACCAAGACATGACAAAGCAACCGTCCCCACATCCGTCCCCCCGAGGGGATCTCAATGTGGGTGGGCAGGTGCGTCGTGAGGGGGTGGCACGGGATGTTAGCACCAGGTATTCACAGACCAGCTCGCAAAGATGCTTCAGGAACGTGGGCACAGACAATTTGCAGAGTGGCCACTGGGCAGCCCCGCCCCCGCCAGCCCACCCTCAGGAAGCCAATCCCATGGTTTCAGAAGAGCAGCCACGGGATCCAGGGGGGTCCACTCTGGCTGTCCCTTAGCGTTGGCCTCCTCAAGCGGTACAAGAATGCCAGCTTCCAAGACTCCCGTGCCCCTCGATCCCGTCCTGGGCCACATCCAGTCAACACCACGACTCCTCAATCCCCCTCGGTGCTTCTGGAATGCCTCTCTTGGCACCCCTGCCCCCCAAGGCTGCTGGGATTTGCACGCGGGATCACAGGGCTGGTTGCATGCAACACGAAAGGCATGCTCTTCCGGCCGGGTGAGGGCCTCGGCCCCTCCCTAGCAAGTCCCGGGCCAGGGCTGGCAGCCACCCCAGCACCCGACGTAAGATGGCAGACGAAAGGAAACAAACCGAGACGGAGGAGAGCCACCCGGGCTGGGGGAGGAGGGCAGAGGCTCCCCGGCGGGGGACGGGGCTCGTCTCATGAATGCATCAGGCCTTGGAAGATGCGGATGGAGGGGGAGGGCGGAAGGAGGAGGTGAGGGCGCGGGAGGGGACTTGGAAGATGCGGATGGAGGGGGAGGGCGGAAGGAGGAGGTGAGGGCGCGGGAGGGGACTTGGAAGATGCGGATGGAGGGGGAGGGCGGAAGGAGGAGGTGAGGGCGCGGGAGGGGACTTGGAAGATGCGGATGGAGGGGGAGGGCGGAAGGAGGAGGTGAGGGCGCGGGAGGGGACTTGGAAGATGCGGATGGAGGGGGAGGGCGGAAGGAGGAGGTGAGGGCGCGGGAGGGGACTTGGGGGGGAAGGAGAAAGAGCAGTCATGCAGCTTAGGACACATCTTTTGTTGCTTTATCAGATTCTCAGTCAATCCGGTGGTAATTGCTAGAACCGGGGGACGCAGGGGAGTGTTGAAGAGAGACAGTGCGCGCGCGAGAAGAGAGAGATGGAGAGAACGGGCATCGCCAGCTGCCCGGGGGCCTTCACTTCGCGGTCATCATCTGGACAAATTCTGTGAAGCGAAACAGAGAGGCAGGAGGTCAGCGGGTGGGCAGGGCTGAGCGGCGAGCGGCCCTCCCTGGCACGAGGGACCCGGGGGCTGGCTTCGGCGACGAGCCCGGCATCGCCTCACCTTCATAATTGACCTGGCCGTCGCCATCGATGTCAGCCTCTCTGATCATCTCGTCCACTTCCTCGTCGGTCAGCTTCTCCCCTAGGTTCGTCATCACGTGACGCAGCTCTGCGGCGCTGATATAGCCGTTGCCGTCCTGGGTGCCGGGGGACAAAGGCTCTGAGCTGGAGGCGTTCACCCGGGGACAGCGGGCCAAGGGTGGCAAGGCTGGGGCTGTCGGTCACCCCCGCTCAGCAGGGGAAGGGGGCTTCCTCAGGTTGCGGAGCAGGCTGCCACTGGGACCCAGGCCCCCCCCCCCACCAGCCATCTCTGTCTCTGCCGGAGTCGGCGAGCCCCCGGGAAAGGACTGCTTACTTTGTCAAAGACACGGAAGGCCTCTCGGATCTCCTCCTCACTGTCCGTGTCCTTCATCTTCCGGGCCATCATGGTCAAGAACTCCGGGAAGTCAATGGTCCCGTTCCCTGGAGAGCGGGGAGGGAGTTGGGAGTGCTCCCGGCCTGGGCCCCGGGAGACCACCCCAGAGCCCTGGGGGAGGAGAGCCTGGCCCATCATCGCCCCGAGGAGGGCTCCCCGGGGTGAGTGGGGGTGGGGCTCACCATCTGCGTCCACCTCGTTGATCATGTCCTGCAGCTCCGCTTCTGTAGGGTTTTGTCCTAGGGATCTCATCACTGTCCCCAACTCCTTCGTGGTGATGGTGCCATCTCCATCCTTGTCGAAGAGGGAGAAGGCCTCCTTGAACTCTGGGGGAAGAAAGGAAGGGAGGCAGAGGTCGAGGACCGCAAGGAAGTCCTGACCCGGGATGCGGGCCTCAGTCCACCTAGAGAAACCAGAGCAAGACTTCACCTCCAGTCCAAGCCCCCGCCTCCGTGCTCAGGGCAGACCTCCTTCCTCCTCAGTCAACACTTATGAGCCCCTGCTCTGTGCCAGGTAAAGCCACCCGTGCAGCCAGCCTACCCCGGTGAGCACAGAGGGCAAAAATGGGCTGAGAGCTGTCAGATAATTCTACACTTCTTTTTGATCCCTGGCTTCGGCTTCTCTCTCAAAGCATGAGGACCAATGTCATGGAGTGGAAGAGGGCCAAGAGAACTTTCCATCTGAAGGATGCCGGCCAAGGTCAAGTGGCCGGGAAGTGTAGGGAACGGGAGGCTGCAGAACGCCTTCGGTTGCCACTGAGTGCCTCCCGACTGGCACCGCCAGCCCAGTTCCCCGAGCTCGTGCTACCGGCTTCCAGAAGAGCCGAGCGAGCGGCTGTGCGTGGAGCGTGGGGGTGGTCGGCAGCAGAGCGCGGCTGACGGACGGTGCGTGGGGCGGCCGGGGGGATGGAAGGAGAGGGGACGGCTGCCAAGCCAGGAGGATGAGGAGCTAGTGGTGCTGAGTGGGCAGGCCACAGCTGGGGCCGCGTCAGGAGTGGGGAGAAAGCACGTGGCTCCTGCCCTCCCACTGGGCCCATTTTTGCACCTGGTGCTCCCTACCCCCAAACCCTCCGAGAACAGATGCCTGGCAGCCTATTCCCAGAGGGTGTGGGCTGGGGTGAGGTAGTGGACAGTTTGCTAATGGGGACGGGGGGAGAGTGGAGTGTGTGTTTGTGTCACCCAAGGGCAGGGAGTTGGGGTGTGGGTGGCAGGTGCAGTGGGAGCCAAACACAGCTGACAAGCTGTGCCCCGAGCCTCTGGGCCCTGGGGAGTTAGTAAGAGTCCCCTTGGGGATGCTGGCACCTCCCTGTGCTGAGGCCTTGTTGTTTGGGGGGGGAAGGGAGCAGGGCATGTGGGCACCCCGAGCTCATGACCACTGAACAACAGGGTATTCTCTGGCTTGCCCCGGTGGGTCTCCAGAGCCACCTGGGGCCAAAGTTAAGAAGCTGCAAGTGTGACTGTGTGTTGGGGGGGAGGGGAGGAAAGGAGAGAAGGCAAAGCCTTCTCTGCAAAACTCCTGCCTCCTCCCACTTCAGCAGCCAGGCATTTAGTCCTTGTCACACAGCCCAGCGGACCTGACAGCAGAGCTGGGGATGGGTAGCTGCTGGGGCCCAGGGGCCCATTCTCTGCATCCTTCCTCCTGTCTCCTGTGTGCTTGCCTGTGGCTTTGCAGATACAGTGGGAGCTGCTCTCTGTCCTCAGGCAGCCCACAGTCTGGGGAGATGGGGACACGGGCGCCCACTCAGTCACACAATAGGTCCTACAGCTGTGACCTTTCTGGGCTTTGGGGGGGCTATAAAAATGAATCTGATGGGACCCAGGATTTCTTGTAGCTTACGGGGAGATATGTGATGGTTCCTATGTGCATTTATTTAGCCAACACAAATTTAGGAAGCATCTACCATGTTCTAAGCACTGAAGACAAAGTGGGGACCACCAAAACCCAAGCCCCAACTCCAGGAACTCACATCTAGGGACAGGAGACACAGCGGGTAAAGACAGCACAAAATAATTTCAGATAGTGGGAGAGGCTACAGAGGAAATGAACAGGGTGACCTGATGGAGAGCAGAGCAAGGGTGTCTGTTTGGGAGGGAGTCAGAGAAGGCCTCTCCCAGGTGACACGTGAGCTGAGACCCGAAAGATGAGAGGAGCTGCTCTGCAAAGAGCTGGGGGAGCCGCTCCTCTGGCAGAGGAGAAAGCCAGGGCAGGCACGCGCAGACGGAGCACAGAGCACAGGGGACAGCAGAGGTGGGAGTGACGAGCCATCTCCTGGGCAGCTCTAAAGTGGGGCAGGAGCTCTGCAGCCCCACGGGGAGGCAGGGAGCTCACCTTCTGAGCCTAACTGGCAGCAGCTGAGACAGACAGCCGGCTTCACCCTGCAGCCACGGATTAAAAGGGCCCCGGAGGACCCAGGGCCAGGAGGGGAACACAGCCTTTGCCAGCTGGTGACGGCCTGCCTCAGGACCTGGGGTTTGGGGGTACCGGGGCACTGGTGTGCTCTTATACACAGTTACCAACGTTCTGAGCACAGGCATGGTGTTGGGCGACGTAGGGGACACACAAGTTTATCTGTCAGATGTCACTCCTGGCCAGAGGCAGTAAGACTTCGCTGGGGACGCAGAGGCCCTCCCGAGGCAGGAGGAGGGGGGTGGGGTAGGCAGGCTCACCTGCGATCTGCTCCTCTGTGAGCTGGTCAGCCTGGAAAAGCAGAAGGAGAAAGTTAGTCACTGGGCTAGCTGGCCACCATGGAGCCCTCCTCCTTGCTCGGCCCAGCCCCCTCTGGTGAGGCTGGTTCCACATGGCACTCTATGCACCTGGGCAAGGGCCATGCGTGCCAGAGACAGCGTGTGAGGCAGAGCCAGGGCCTGGGATCAAGTCTGGTGCTTCGGGAAGCTGGAGACTTAGGCGGGCTGGAAACCCAGGCCTGCCTGATGCAGGGCCCGAGGAGGCTGCCCAGACCCCAGGGTCTCCAGTCTCATTCTGGTGCCTGGAGCCACAGTGGGCAGAGAGAAACGGCGCTCCGGCCCGAACCAGCTGCTCTGGCACAGCACGGTTCCGTCTCGGTGTCAGCCCTGCTGCTGGGAGCCCGGGAGGCTGAGTGAAGGGAGCAGTTGCCCTAGAGGCCTAATCAAGCAGCTCTAGAAGGCTCCACACTGAAACAGGCCAGTCCTCGGGCAGGGCAGAGGGAAGATGTCCGGGGCTCTTTGCTGGTTTCTGTGTCACCTCTTTGGAGGCGCTGGGTCCAAGCGCGGTGGACCCAACTGGCCAAAATTCGAACTGGTGGCTCCGCGTTGCTCTGAGTGCCGGACAGAACCCTGGTCGGGTCACTCTGTCCTGTTTCTTTTGGGCAGGAGGGGACTAGAGCGGGCAGCAGCAGTGATGGCCCAGGTTGGAGGACTGAAGCCAGCCTCCCCAGCGGCACTGCGGTTTTTAACCCTTTCCAGCCCTAGCCACTCTGTGGACTGGCCAGTCGTGGCTGGCAGCCCTTGCTGCATGCGGGGTTTGGGGGTGGGGTGGAGGAGAGGCAACACCAGCTTCTCCTGCACGGGCGTGCTGGGAATCTGCCAGGTTTAGGGATCTGCTGGAGGAGGACCTGGGGGGGGGTGGTATTGAATCCGAACATTTAGCTTTAGGCAACAAAAAGATGAATTTCCCCTGGTTTTCGGGAATGCCGCCAGGAAGGCACCACCGTCCCAGACATTGTGGGTCCAGAGGCCTGCTGCCCCTCCTTTACTTCCTTTCACAATTAGGGGACAGGGGCCCCAAGTCCACAGCAGGGTTCTAGCTAGTCGGAGAGCCCCCCCAAAGTAATGCAAACTCTTGGGTGTATTTGCATTACTCTGCCTAGCGGTTCCACAGCTTCCACTGGAAGCTGGCAACAGGCCCCCACCCCCACCCCGTCCCAAATATTAAGAACTGCTCGCATTAGAACTGGACTAAAATGTCCTTTTTTCTTTTTCTTTTTTTTAAATCTAAGGGAAGGAGAACTTGAGGCAAAGCCCCAAATAGGCAGAATGGGAGGGGAATTCAAGTGATGGTGACACAGGGGAGATGGCTAACGGAGGGGGAAGAAGGAAAAACACCACACGTGCACGTTCTGGAAAAGTCCAAAGTCTGAAGGGAAGGTGAGGAGGCCAAATGGAAACACGTCTGCATTGCCTTCAAAACAGACTGCTGGGCCCCTAAATGACAACCTGGTGGCCCCGGGCCCAGGAGCCCCTCACTCCCCTGCCGCCCTTGGCTACTGTGGCCAAAGACGCCTGGGTGGATCCCCCAGGTCCTGATACCCGAGGAGGCTGCTCAGGGAAAGCGAGAAGAGGGGACGGGCTTCTGGTTACCAAAGCCAGGCAATGTGGGGGGGAGGGGGCAGAGGAGGACCGGAGGAGAGACAAGCAGCCTGGGAGGAGGGCTGTCGTTGCACCTGCTTTCGTCCTCTCCCCTGGCCTAGATGGAAAGGGCTAGACCAGTCAGGGACCTGCCACCCGGACGGCACCACTCTGCAGAAGCCCAACAGTCCCCACCGTCGGGCAGCCCCATCAGAGGCTGAGGCTGGGCCAGGGCAAGGAGGCTGGGACAGGGTGCAGAATGCCCAGCAGGGGCTCTGCTATGCCCCACCAACAAGCTGGAGGGCGCAGACAAGGCTCCGCCACACTCTGTTCACGGGGCTGCTGCAAATAGGCGTGGCTCTGCCTGCAGGGCCTGTCAGACTCTCTCTCCCTGTTAGGAGACCCCCTCCCCTGCTCGGTGAAGGCCAGGTCCCAGCTCCCAGCTATCCATCTCAAAGCACGGCTGCCGCCCAGAAACCTGACCACCTGAGACGCAACCATCGCTGGGGACCCCTTCTTGGGACTTCTTCCCTTTCCAGATCTGAAGATTTTAAGCTTTCACCAAAAACTGTCTCCAAAATAACCCAGTTGGTCTCCTGCTTCCTTATGCCTCATCTAGGGCTCCAGCAAAGGGCTGGATAAGAAAAAAACAAATCTTGGGGTGGGGGAGGGAAGAGGGTATAATTTCTCGGCCTTGCCCCAACCCCCAGCTGATGCCAGACAGCAGTGTCAGATGAGATCAGAAACCAAGCCCAGGGCCCCTCACCAGGGCCAAGGAGGAGCCACAGAGCTCAGGCCAAAGTCCAAGGCCACTTACCAGTGACTTGTCCCACCCATAGCTTGCAGCTTACATATGGAAAGATCAACTAGGGCCTATGTGGGAGGTGGGCGGCCTCCGGGCCCCTGCCAGTGCTCCGGGGCCCCTGCAGCAAGGTTCTGCTGGGGGAAAATGGGGTGGCCGCAAGCAGAGCCATCAGGTCTGTGTCAGCAAGTATGAGATCTGATACACGGCAGCGGCTGCCTGTTCTCCCCAGCCTTGCCAGGGAGGACGGCTGCGCACAGTTCCGAGGCTGAGCCTGGCGGGGCTGTGGGTGTTGTGGGTGGCAGGGAGGAGGAAAGAACGAGTCTGCTGGTTTTCTGTCAAAGGCCTGGCTGTGGGAATTAACAGAAGCGCTCAGTGAGGGCCCTGAATGGAACAAGTGGCCCTCGGGCCAATGAAGGGGTCCCTCCGGAGGTCCTCTCTGGTCAAACTCTGCAGCCCCCACCCTGAGGCCACAGGGACAGGCGTCCGATTGTCACCGACGCCACACTGTACTGCACTGTCATCTGGCACAAGTGAGGGGATGCAGAACAGTGAGCGAAGCTGGAGATGAGGAAACCAGCACTCCCGTTTGGAAAAAGCATCTCTCCTGGTCTGAAAGGGGCAGCGAGGGGTGAGGGTCTGGGCTCCAAAAGCTGGCTCATTTGATGCACGCCAAACTTTGATCCCCCACCCCCATTTCATGCGGCTTCAGTGCGCAATAGGGGCCTGAACAACTCCGCCCACCTGCTCCCACTGCCCGGTGCCTGCAGCCCAGCCCCATTCTTCCCGGGGAAGGGGGACCGTATAGCCACTCCCTCTGGCCTCTGCAGCCCACTCCCCATCCAGCCTGAACAGTCTTTGTCCCGGCTTTTCCCTGGAGACTTCCAGAAAGCCACCCACATCCACTCCAACCCTAGGCCCACCTCGCCTGTCTCCTTCCACCTCACCTCCCCCCACCCAAGCCAAAGTCCTCTCCCACCCCTCACCTTCTCACGGACCCAAACACAACACTCCTCCTGACCCCCCAAAATAATCCAACCTCCCTTCCTAGTTCAACAGCCTTAAGCCACCAGTAACCTCAGAACCTTTCCCGGCTGCCCCCCAAACCCACCCTGAGGCCCCCTGTTCCCCCACCACTGGCAAGCACCAGTCTCACCAGCCCCTTTGAACCACCTGCCTGACCCCAATCCTTTTCAGTCCCCACAGGCTTCAAGAGCATCTTCTACTCTCCGCTGCCACCCACCCTAGGCTGGTCCTCCCTGAAGCTTCCACCTCACCCTCCTGCTTCCTCCGCAATGCTGGTCGTTCGAGAAGCCCCTCTCCACCCTCAAGGGTCTGATCTGCGGAAGTGACCCCCATCCCTGCCCTTCTCCTCTGGCCCCCAGGAGCACCCGTCCCCACGCAGGCCCAGCTACCCACGGCCCCCTCTCGGGGAGCTCCCCAGCCCCCGGCCGCCCTCCGATCCCCCTTCCCTGCATCCTCTCAGGACCCCAAGGCTCCATCAGGGCCCGAATCACCCCCTTCCTCAGCCCAGGTTTCTCGTCCCGCGCCCCTGGGGTGCAAACAGCCCACCCCAGAGACCAAATGCCCCATCCTGGGTCCGAAAGCCCTTTTGGGGTCCAAACGCCGCCTTTGCAAGTCCAGATGTTCCATCCCGAGTTCAAACCCATGCTTTGAGGGCTCAGGTGCCCACTTTGGGGTCTAAACACCCTATCTGGTGCTAAAAGTCGCTTCCGGAAGCCCCCAAACCCCCTTGTGGGATCCAAACGTCCCGCTCTGGGTTCGGATGCCCCCGACAGGGGGGCAGCGAGGGGTCCAGAGGCGCTGGCCGGGGCCCGATCGCCCCCATCCCGGGTCCACTCGCCGTCTCAGGGGTCCCGCCCCGGAGCCCCCAGCCTCGGCCGCCCCCCAGCCTCACTCACCATGGCGAGGCCCGGGGTGTCCGGAGCGCGGGGATGAGGTTCCTCCGGCGG